CGGCATTCAAGATATTCACATATTTTGTATTGTTCTTTAATGAAATATAAAATGCTTTATGCTGCGCGATGCATAATGACTAGTGCAATCTCATCACAGACGTCGCATGTCGCGACGAAAACCTATAATTTACATTGTGTCGATTTAATCGCTTGTCATAATATTATATATATATCCGTCTCGATCCTTTATGATCTTCGGCAACGAGACGCATTCACTTCCTGCGTAGACCGAAAACGTGAGTAGCAAATGAGGCCGAGATGTAATTCGTCAACGACATGAACAGATTGCTCACCGCGCGATAAGCATAACCGTATACCATCGCGGCGCACAGGTGAGTCTTTACAACGGACAAGGTGCACTTACTAGCATCTCGCGGTGAGGGTGGCGACTTGTCATCGTCCACAAGGGTATGCGTGCCAGTAGTAGATTCCACGCGAGCTTCGTTGTCGTTATCGTCGTCATTGTTGGCGTGCGACCTTTCATCGCAAAGAATGTCCTCGTCACTCGATATAACACGATTGTCGGACACGTCGTTTATCACCGAGTCCACCGGACAGTTTGCATTGTCGCGGTTAAGTAGATCCTCCTCCTTCTCCTTGTTATTGCCCTCGTCGTCGACCTCGGTTTCCATCGGCGACTTATCGGGGGCGAATTCGCGCGACGAGGACGATGTTATAAAAGGCTCCAAGGAGCGATTAACGTCGGTCGCGTCCTCGCCGTCGTCGACGTCGGTCTCCGGACCCAGATCGTAATCGTAATCGTCATCGTTGCCATCACTGTCCTGATGCTTGCCGTTCCTGGCCATCCCGCAGACTACGCGATTTAAATCAAAATCAGCGTGCTGCAGATCCGCGTCGATCAACTGCTGCTGCTGCTGCTTAATGAAAGCAGCATTCACATCGAACTGGCCGGAATTCGACGAGACCGGATTATTCGGGTCCATGTTGTTCAGTAGTAGACCATTCGGTGCTTGATGCGTCAGGAGCGAATGCCGCGAGGCGATCTCGATCGGCGGTGTCAGAAACACGACGATCACAGTGATATTGTCCAAGGATCCCGCGCGTTTAGCGCTCTGCAATAGCGCCTGATGCACGTGCTTGAGATCGTCTGCAAAGATAGAAAGATAGGCATTCGTTAAAAAATTTTCGTACCTCGTCTCGACTATGATTATTTTTTAATTACTACAATATTATTGTCGGGAGCGTAAATTTGAAACGGTACGTAAATCTTGTACGATCCCGTTGTTGGGTCTTCCGCTACCAAAAGTCCGCGACGGAATTCACATTCTGGAAGTAATTTTCCAACATATTTTTTTAACGAAGCAAAGAATTTTCATCGCGTGCGCTTATATTTTAATCTCTTATATATGTTTTACGTATATTCTTTCGAATCAAAACTGTATTACGTCAGCAGTTAAATTAGAAAAATTGTCCTAGCGTTTTATCTATTTCTTGACATAGCGAGGGAGATAAACATAATAATCCAGATCAAGATGCACCAATATCATAAAAATATTATAGAAGAGGAGACGCGCGCGAGAAACGGAAGCGAAGGATGTAGCAGAAGTATTTTTCAATGGATACGTTGTTATTTAGCTTATCGGCGCGAGTCATCGAATAATAAAAGTGCGGCTACGGTTTATAGTTACCGAAGTCAATGGTTCGTGAATAAAGCACGCTCGAAGATCATCACGCGATCGCGTTCAAGAAGCCGTCTCGCGAATATCACAGATATATCGTTTCTTGCAAAATATGAATATGTACACAATCCATTAATATTGCTATTGCAAAGTACCATATAGATCGATGACGCAAGAATTAAATGGTTTCTTTCTTTTACAGAATATACATTCCTATATAAATGAAACCTATCAAAATCCTGCAGAATTCATACACGTGTAAAAATAGGAGCAAAATTTCGACTTGGGTTACATAATCGGAAGCGTTCTCGTGTCTTCTGGTATTCTTTAGTTGTTTGTTATTTAGAGAAAGAGAGGGAGGGAAATTTTTTATAAATGACGCATATCTAGAGTTGGTCAGAAATTTCACGATACACTACATATAACTGCGAATATCGTGCCGGCCCTGGCGGAAAGTACGTTGACCTATGCCGACTATCGACGCCTGCGTAGTCCTCTCCCTTCATTCCTCGCCCCTTCGTTCACCGCCTCACCCGTTTCGTTTCTCCCTCTGCCCTCTCCCCCCTCTCAACCCTTCCTCCCTCTGTCCGTTGCCGCTCACCTCTCGTCGTCTTCTCTTTCATTCTCTTGCATTCGCGCTCTAGTGACTTTATTACATTGCGAGAGCATTCTCTTGCCATCTGAGGAAGGGGGAGATGTTAATTTTCCATCGGTTTCTATCATTTTTTTCTTCACTTTTCTGTCGCTCTACCTCTTTCTGTCTTTCTGATCTCGCGAACGAGATCCCTTGAGAAAGAGTAGAAATTGAACAATTGTATCCCGTGAGATTCACCAAAATCATCAATGTCAATGCCGGTCACATGGCGGATATCCGGCTATGGTACACTGATGCATCGGGCAACCATCGGGATCGATGTTCCATCGATCGATAATCGGGTGTATTAATGATAAATATATGCGCGGTATATATATACAATTGATAGATACATCTATTTATTTATATATCCGAGAATGTGCTTACGATTGAATACATGGTGCATAATATTTCCATGAAAACTAACATTTCGTGCATTTTTTTACACATGGCAATATTATATCGGGGAAAAAAGCGAGAAGAGTAAAATCGGTGAGTCGTGCTATTGTCCGTATTCGAGGATTCAATTAACGCTTGTCGCATTGTTAGTCGCAAAGAGGGTAAAAAACGAACATGCGCAAATGATGTCACAGAACGACGCTTATTCCCGTTTAACTCTCGACTAAATCTAGGTTTTTAGCATGTTAGGCATTAATACTTTGCATAAATTGTAAAGAAGTATTATTTATTATATATAAATATCATTTATTTAGATCTGAAAAATATATTTTTTTTCTGTTTTATGCCCCATCTTTCGATACTCGTGTATTTTTATTATTAATTTATTTTTACATTATTTTTGCTTTAATATATCTAATGTTTCAAGAAAAAAAAAAGTTTCTAGAATAAAATTCAGATACACATACTGGAATTTATTCTCAAAGAATCCTAGAAGAAATTTTACCACGGATGGACTTCCTTAAAGAAGGTTAATGAATTCCAATCGCGTTTCAGTGTGGTGATCGTTGCTGTCCAAGGTCACTTATAGTACAGACTGGCATAGCATTGATAGCGGAACTGTGATAGACCATGAATGAAAAAACTCGTCTCGAGATATCGCACGACACAGTTCGCGACCCTGCAATAGGCTGAACTCGATAACAGACATTGTTATTGCGTTGATGAACAGTTATAATTCTAATATTAGCGATACGTAACATGATAATTAAATCATGTTGAATAATTAAATAACGGATATTTAGACAAATAAAATAATATTTCCCCCAACCCCTAATTTTTAAGTCAAATAAAGATTTATTTGCGAATTAAATCTTAAAAATACAAATAATAAAATTGTACTTGAATAAAGAGATTTTGAGATGAAATTATATTTTACGGGGCAAATCTTTATTTTAATTCATAAATTAATTATTAATTTTATATTTGAAAAGATTAAAAGTGTGTGTGCTTTGTGCAATATCAAATATTCATAAATTCATCTCGAAATGTATTAGATTTATTAACTTTTGACGTAGCTACGTGATCCGTCCAGTTCCTCTTTAAGCATTGAAGATAAAATAAATTTTTTATCGCGAACAAGAAGCCTGTGCCAGGCGCCGATGTACGGGCTCTCTTTGCAGCCAACGCACGGCGATATAAATTACACGGAAATATTGGATTACGCGCGTCAGGATGCCGTGTGGCTGTGAGAGAGAGAGAGAGAGAGAGAGAGAGAGAAAAAAAAAAAAGAAAACGAGGCTTATTCCTCCACATCCGCTCTCTCGATCTCGGGATTCTGACCGATCGGAATTTCGCGCGGCCAATCGTCTCGGTCACGAATTCTCTCCACGGCAGAACATCGTCCGCGGTTTCTCTTTTTTTTCTCCTCGTCAAAACGGTCGGCTCTTATATACCGATATGAATTATGTAGGTGGCACGCGCGTAAGTATTGTATCCAGGTTCTCGCTCGCGGAACGATCGTTGAACCAATGTTCATCGGAGCCGACTGCCTGCCTGTTCGTCTAAGGCTACGCCGAACGAAGTAAAATCCAACCTTTTACAAGAGACTCTATGCTATGACGTATCTCAGCTGATGAAAAAACAAATCAAAAAAACTCTCAACTCTGCGTGGCGACGCAGCAATATATATATATCTTTGCGCGACGTATCATTTCGAATCTTATGGTTCTTAATGTCCGGCTTTACCAGACTGATTCCTGGATGAGTCTGTGCGGATTATTATCTCCTAACGCGCTATTTAATCCGTAAAATAAAGTATGTTAGGAGATGTTGAAATGTTGTAAGAAAAGCTCAATGGTTCTTGATTATTTTAATACATAGCGTTTACACAATAATTTTCTTTTTACTTGCGTTAAAGAAATTAATAAAAAATTATATAATATAACTTTTAAATAAATATAAGATTCTAAATTTTTATATTATTTCATATTATTCCGATTTCACTAAACTTATAATTTATAATATAATTTATTTTCGGAGGATATATTATATATCTGATAAATAAGAGAAATCGCCTTTACTATTGGAAAAAATAGAAATATTTTTTATTTCCTTTTTTTTTTTTTTTTTTTTTTTGTTAATGTTATTCAATGTATTTTCGGAGATCCTCTTATACCGCGCACGAATCAATCACCAAGGAGATGGCGATATCTGATTTCCCGTGTCTTGCGCTGTTACCAAGGGAAAAAAAATTCCAGATTTCGACGCGCGTGTCTGCTTTCGACATCGAGTATCTTCCAAGTGCTTTGCAAATTCTCGCAATCATCGGAAAAATGTTCGATTATCTCGTTTACGAGATTGCCGACTATTCGTTTTACTCATATCGCGAATATGTCGGGTTTTAAAATGTCGTTGTGAAATTTTAAGTATTGTAAAAAGTTTATTAATTTTTTTTTCGTCAAAAAGATTCTTTAAACGGGAAAGTGAAAACGGCTTATAGCTCGATATTTCAAGATCAGACATATCCGTTGACATTACTAAATATAAGAAAGTGATGTGCTCCGAAAAGTGTATTGTCATAAAATTCAAAATTTCAAGCGGTTTGTTCGTTATATGTTTATCAAACGCAAAGGTCGTTACTTTATTTAAGTACCAAAACAATATATAGACTCAATCGTTCAGAACATATAGAGGGAAATTTTATAATCTTTCCATTTTCGAGAAAATTTCAAAAATCTCTCTCTCTCTCTCTCTCTTAATCTAAACATTTTTGCTTACACTTTTTGCAAAATCACTTTCTTTGATCTCGTGAAAAAGAGAGAAAAAAACGGTCATCATGGATAATAATTTGAAATCTTCGAACGCGTTCGATACAAGGACGAGGTAAAGATAAACGCACAAAAGAAAAAAAAAAAAAAATTACAACGATGACTCACGCTCTGTCAGAGGCGACGATATACCCCGGGCTGGGTGGATTCTCGGGCAGCAGGATTCTGCAAAGCAGATTCGCAACCAGATCCACTCGTAAGTTCGTGCCGATGATATAAAACTGTCGCGAGGGAGACTGGCGGCGGAATTTCGCGCAGATTCCGACCGGTGAGACAGACGCGAGACAAATGTTACGCTCTCCAACCGCGGGGACTGACGCAGTATACGCACACAGATGTTTCAGGTGACAGAAGGAGTACTACCTGACCGCGGCGGCGAACGTCGCGCGCGGACCAAGTTAAAAACGTTCGATGCTACACGACCTTATACCGGGCGTGGCGTATCACGACTGATTCTCTCGTCGCCGGCGCCTTTTCTCGCTCGCCGGCTCGTTGCCATCCCCCGCCATCGGATGTCGCCACCGCCGAGCCCCGGCCCCGGCGCGAGCGAAGATGACTCATGTCACCCCTCGTGCGCCAGCCAGCCGGCTACTCCATCGTACATTTT